CACATTTTTTGGTGTGCTGCGGCAAATAATTAAGTAACAGAGCCTGAGCCACAGGCGCAGTGGGGTTCACACATTTTTTGGTGTGCTGCGGCAAACGATACAGACTGGATATTAGCGAGGAACAAAACGACAGCGGCAAGAGAAGAAGAAGAAGAAGAAGAAGAAGAAGAAAGTTAACTTAGCTCTAAGGGAACAATATATAGCGAACAGGGTGCGTGAGATAATGAGAGAAAAGATTATAACAATGGAATTTTATTTTTTTTATTTTTTTTTAGCGAAGAAGATAACATGAGCGTTAGTATCATGGCGCGGTTTTCTCTCCTTGACGACGTCCCACAGCATCTCACACCGCTCTGGGAAGTTGGAACTCAATCCCTCCACTCAACATGCCGCTCAGAATGACGAAGAGGGTGCACTGACGAACAGAGCGGAAGAGAGATGGGAGAGGAAACATATGCCCGTTAAGGAAATCAGCGAGGAGCAGCGTCACCCTGATCAACGTAAAGACGAGCGTAGCAAAGGTGATCATGGTGGCGAGAAACTCTGAAGAGTCTGAACAGAATTCTCTCTCAACGAAGGCCATTCACAGACTGCAACCTGGGGATGAAGGTGCTGCCAGTGGCTGGATCAGCCAAAAGCCCTGGAGAGGTCATTGCAAATGAGGATGCGATCCATATCTCACTGTTTGCGAGAGACACCCTGTAACGTTTGAGGAAGGTGGCAAAGTGAGACATCCCGTCTCCTTCAACTTGCTCTCCACAGAGTGCAGGCCCTCCTGGGGTGCAGAGTGTTTTCCAAGATCGATTAAATTTTGCAGAATGACTATTTTGAGGTCGGGCCAGCAGACCAGCAAAAGACGAGGTAAAGGACTGCATTCCGATTGTACGAGTAAAACATGTTGTTGTGTGTGTTAACGAACGCACCTGCGACATTTCAGCGAGCGCGCTATGAATTCCGTACGCGGGGAGTACCTCGACGGGATCGTGGTGGTTTACGGCTATTTTCAGATTGAGGTGGGGCCATCAGACCAGCAGAAAACGAAGTAAAGGACTGCATTCCGATTGACAATGTGCGAGTAAAAGTATGATGTTGTGTGTGTTAACGAACGGCGAACGCAACTGCGACATTTCAGCGAGTGAGCTTATGAATTCCGTAGTCGGGGAGTATCTCGACGGGGTCATGGTGGTTTACGGCTATTTTCAGATTGAGGTGCGGCCAGCAGACCAGCAGAAAACGAAGTAAAGGACTGCATTCCGATTGACAATGTGCGCCGAGTGAAAGTTGACGTTGTGTGTGTTAACGAACGGCGAACGCAACTGCGACATTTCAGCGAGCGAACTATGAATTCCGTACTCGGTGAGTATCTCAACAATGTCAACATGTTCACAGTGGTTTACCGCGATATTATGATCCTGGCCAATTTCGAGATGCACATTCATCA